ACCATACACTCCAACAATCCCACTCCAAGGTGTACACCCATCAGGAAGGCATCTACATGTTCATCAGTAGTTATGAACAAGAATGTTCACAGCAACACTATTTGTAAAACATAAAACTGGAAACTACCTAAGCACTCATCAACAGTAAAATTAATAAAGAAATGATATTGTGTTCACACAATGGAATACAAAACCCATGGCTACAAATACATGGACTATTCTTACAAATGTCAGACATGAGCAAGCACATACTATAGAATTTCATATGAGTAAATTACAAAGCAGATGAAAATAACCCATGTTGGTAAAAGCCAGGATACTGGTCATCCTGATGGAGGTAGTGACTTGTATGGAGCCTTAGGGAGGCCCTGGGGTACTGATAATTCTGTTTCTTGATTAGAATATTGCCTTTAGGTGTGTTAAGTTTGTAACAATCCATCCAGGCCAATAGTCATTCCATTCCTACTTTGTTAGGTATAATATACTTGGATACAAAATTTCAAAAATAAATTAAGTGTGCCACCTTCCTTCAAGGAATTTTCTTCCAATGAGGGAGACAGACATGAATCACTCCTCATTTATGGTAAAACAGGATAAAGTAGGTGAAAAAGAGAGACAGAAGCCATGTAACATTAAGGTTAAAAGAGGGAAGAATTTATTCTGACTTGGATGAGATACAGTTCACAAAGGAAACTTGGCTTTAGAAAAAATGCTGAATAGATGAGAATAATCCAGCAGAGCAGTATGTGCAAAGGCCAGAAACACAATACAAAGTATCGCTCATCTGAGAGCTCCAAGAAAAGCTAAGAAGCCAGAGCTGGAGGGGGTGGAGGGAGGAAGGGAAGAAGCAGCCCACAGGGGTCCCCACCTTTCCTTCCCAGTCCCTAACACTCAACACCCAACTCTGAATTGTATATAAGCTTTCCTCCAACTCTTCTAAATACAATGTGTTCCTAAGTATTGGTAAAAAAACAAAAATCACATAGTCGAAGACATTTATAAAACACTACACACAGTATTATCTTGGAGTATATTAAAAGTCTGTAAAAGGGGACAGTTCTGTGGCATAGTGGGTAAAATTGCTGCCTGCAGGGCCAACATCCCATGTGGGCACCAGTTCGAGTCCCATCTGGTCTACTTCCAATCCAGCTCTCTGCTGTGGCCTGGGAAAGCTTTGGAAGATAGCCTAAGTCCTTGTGCCCCTGCACCCACATGGGAGACCCGGAAGAAGCTCCTGGTCCTGGATCACCACAGCTCTGGCCAATGCAGCCATTTGGGGAGTGAACCAGTAGACAGAAGACTTCTGTCTTGGGCCGGCGCCGTGGCTCAATAGGCTAATCCTCCACCTTGCGGCGCCGGCACACCGGGTTCTAGTCCCGGTTGGGGCGCCGGATTCTGTCCCGGTTGCCCCTCTTCCAGGCCAGCCCTCTGCTGTGGCCAGGGAGTGCAGTGGAGGATGGCCCAGGTGCTTGGGCCCTGCACCCCATGGGAGACCAGGAAAAAGCACCTGGATCCTGGCTCCTGCCATCGGATCAGCGCGGTGCGCCGGCTGCAGCGGCGGCCATTGGAGGGTGAACCAACGGCAAAGGAAGACCTTTCCCTCTCTGTCTCTCTCTCTCACTGTCCACTCTGCCTGTCAAAAATTAAAAAAAAAAAAAAAAAGACTTCTGTCTCTCTCTATTCTGCCTTTCTGTAACTCTGCCTTTCAAATAAATAAATCTTAAAAAAAAAAAAAAAGTCTGTAACATCCTAAGATCATGAAACCTGTTGAATTCTGTTTTCCAAATTTAATTGACTATGGAATCTCTGGCTTTTCTTTTTGTTAAATATGTATTAAGAGACGGCTCCAGGTACACCTGGTGATTTTGTTAGAGTAATGCCAAATGCCGTAACAACGAAATCCCAGAATTTCAGTGGCTTCCACATAAAAGCGTACTCCTTACTCATATGAAACTGTCAGTCCAATGCAGGTGTTATTGGTTAGTGGGCGGCCTTCCACATGGGCATTTCATGACTTTTCCCTTACCAAGGATTCAGAATCTCTAGCATCCAAGTCAGCAGATGGGGAGGACAGTGCAGAAAAGCAAGTTCACTTCTTGACTACCTTAACCATTGATGAGAACGTGTTTCCGTACAGAGATAAATGGTCTGGAAAATGTAGTCCCTAGCTGTGCAGCTGTCCTATGGTATTCAAGGGAGAGCACAAATTTTGGTGGGCTTTCTCTACCATACCCAATAACTAAATACATTCCCTAAGCCATCCATTTATAGCATCGTGTCTTTAATCATGCCATTCCTTTTGCCTAGAAAATCCCTCCTCCTCCCATAAACCCTGTTTCTCCAACTGGCAAATCCCTATCCTCTGGAATGCGAGAGAAATGTACTCTTCCTGGTATGCCTACAAGACTTTGGACGGAGATCATCTAAACCTTATGTCTAGTTCCAATCAGAAGAGGAACCCCCATACAGGCAGAATCTGCACCTCAGGCACCTGCCTAACCCTAGCACCCAGAGTACAGTTTGATGGTCAGAGCTAAATAAATAGGAAAGGAGGGAGAGTGGCAGCAAGAAGGGAGGGAAGGAAAGAGGCAAAGAACTTAGTGGGAGGAAGTAGACCTCTCCAACCTGTTACTCTGTAATTAACAAGGGCAGAGGGACTTTTTATAAAAGTTTTGCTCCACTTAGGAGCCCAAGAGTTAAACATATGCCGCTGGAGGCAAATTATGCTCTCATCTTTTTCTCTGAGTGTTTTTTTATAGGTGGCCTTTAACAGCATGTAAATTAGCACCCCCTTTGCTCTTTCAGTCTCAGGACTGACACTAGTGTAAACAATTATTGAAGTTCCCTATCTGGAAGATGCCTGGGTTATTGTTTTGATCTGAAAGTAGTCAGCCTGTACTTGATGGTATATAATTTAAAAGAACATAATTAAAACGGGTAAGAAAAATCTGGACACAATTTACTGCTATAAAAGGAAACTTTCAAAATACAGTCTCACACTCTCTTTATTGGTATTCTCAGGATAAAATATTATTCCCCACAAAGTATGTCAGTTTTGCTTTCTTGTAAACCAGAGGCGGGATCTGACCAGGTGCAGGCACCAGAGAAACCGTATCAGTCTCCATCCAGGGTAATGAAGGATTTGGCTGCTCCCACCCCACCTCTGCCCCAGGAGCCCCTTCCTGATTTGGAGTTTGATTTACACAGCTGAGACAGGCTTCAAATCCAGAACCAGAAAATGAGCCCTCATCAAGCTTGTGTTGAATAAGAAATACAGACATGTATAGGTCCTGAGGTCAAATAGGTAGACTGGGGGATCCCTGAGGAAGTCTACCCTGACTGGTGGGGAGGATAGATCAGTGCCTGGTTTTTGTCTCTAAGACATATCACAAACAAGTTACTTAACCTCTCTTCACCTTATTTTCCTTACCATTAAAATGGAACTAATTATGTCAATCCTCCGTTACCACCTGCATGTTGAAAAATCTAATCCACTAACGTATTTACATTAATCTAGGAGTAGTCAGGGGAGAGGGGATGTATCCAGAAGTCCTTGCAACCATGGTAGTTCTATGCCTTCCAAACAGGTACGTTGTTCCACACCCACTTGCCCTAGGGTGTCCCTTCTGGAATCTCACTTATTGCCCATCCACACAGAAACAACCATTCAGAAGAGCTGCCATGAACAACAGTTGGAGCCAGAGTTGATTAATATGCAAGCTTGACAGTGGATATGACTTTGGCCAGAGTGTCAGGGGGCTATTGATGACAGCCATGACCTTAACATCTGATCCCTCATTTCACACCTTCACTAGACTTTACACAGGGCCATCGGCCAAAAAGCTGATTTGGTCTGGTGCCTGATGCCTTGTTTTCAGCAGATTTCATCCCTAAGACACACTGGCTTCATTGATAAGTGTTGCTAGCTCTTTATCGACATCATTTTAGAATGGGTTGCCAAGGAAACAGGATTCAGGAATGATTCTCATTACTGTACAGTCCCCAACAAATGAGTGTCTGCATTTACATGATCTCAACCAGTATTAGCTCTCCCCTCTCAAAGCTACAATGCCAACACTTACCGTTTGTAGCACACAATTCAATGTGTAATTATATATTGTCTCCTAATAATTATACATTGTCTTAGTGAACAATACAGCTGTGGGCACCCATGCCAAGCCACATTAACACTTCCTACAGTAACACCCTCCCTCACTGATGGGCAAATAATACACATTTGTAGAAGCCATAAAGAAAACTGAGATATTCACAAGAGTGTATTTCTAGAACAAACCTACCCAATGATTCCTAAATGCTTCCTCAGTTTCCATCATACAAAACCTTATATGCTTGAATCGGCCAAACTGATATTGTTTTTGTTTGACCCAGTGGTTTTCCTAAGAGGTAACACCATTATTCTCAGCACAGCCAGGCTTTGACAAAGATCAAGTCAGCCCAATCAAAGTGGGACAGATTCCTACACATTTTCTTTCTTTCTTTCTTTCTTTCTTTCTTTATTTATTTATTTATTTATTTATTTTTTGACAGGCAGAGTGGATAGTGAGAGAAAGAGAGAGAGAGAGAGAGAGAGAGAGAAAGGTCTTCCTTTTGCCATTGGTTCACCCTCCAATGGCTACCGCGGCCAGCGCGCTGCGGCCAGCGCACTGCGCTGATCCGATGGCAGGAGCCAGGTACTTCTCCTGGTCTCCCATGGGGTGCAGGGCCCAAGCACTTGGGCCATCCTCCACTGCACTCCCTGGCCATAGCAGAGAGCTGGCCTGCAAGAGGGGCAACCGGGACAGAATCCGGCGCCCCGACCAGGACTAGAACCCGGTGTGCCGGCACCACAAGGCAGAGGATTAGCCTAGTGAGCCGCGGCGCCGGCTCTAGATTCCTACACATTTTCTAACCCTATGGAATGGGGGTGAAACCATGAGAATAAAAATAAGAATCTCCATGTAAAATGAAAATAATTTAAAATCTCCATGTGGATTATAATATACAGTTCTTTTTTGATCCCTGTTCTCCCAACCCCCAACAAAAAAGAAAAGAAAAAAGCTCTGAAGGAGACAATTGGACTACAGAAGGTCTGAGGTTGTGAGCATTGAGTTGCATTTTAAAAGAATTGGTGACTCCAGGTCATTTTAATCAAGTTGCATGTCAGCTTGCAAATTTTCTAAATTAGCTGTAGCTGGAGGAGAGCAAGATGTTGTTCTTCTTTCCTAAAGAATAAAAACAGATTGTTGTGACATGTTCTCAGTCATAATGACAGATTGGAGCCGCTGTTTGTGGTACAAGTCAGAAAACAAACCAACTATTTTTTCCCCAAAAATTGTAACGCTTGATTGATTTCTGTTGAGATTTGGGCATCTCCCAGTTTGTCAGTGATGTTGATAAAGTTCACAAAAGAATCTTATTGAAAGCCAGAGCAGACACAAAGACTAATTTAAAACAAGGTTGATTTTCACTGAGAAAGAAGCCTGGTGGGCTCGAGGTCATGCTCTAGGGACGCTTACTTAGTTGGGCTGCTGCTCAGATGGTGCTGCTACTGGGAAGAGGGTGGTCAGTGAGAGGGGGTACTCAGTACTCCCTCTTCCTGGGCACCTCTGCTTCTGAGGCAGGAATACTCCTGCCAAGCAGAAGCGCTGTCAGCCATTCTGAATAAGGCAGGCTCTGTATATCAAACCACCAGGTCACTGCCAGGGTCTGTGTATTCCCCCATCAGCCCATTCAAAGGTCAGTTATACATCACATCTGGTCCAAAAGGCAGCAGCACAGAAGTTTGGTTTTTTTTTTCACAAACCAGACAGGAAGAGATATAGACCTGCCATTCATCTTGAAGTCAACCAGTCAACAACACAGCTTAAGACTCTTGATTCCAGAGTCCATAAACAAAGTATTGAATGTACATTTGCATCATGTAAGTTAGGAAGACACAGAAGCCAGGAAATGAACAACAATGGGACACACTGGAGCAATCCCTTCAAATGCCAAGAAACCCAAAAGCAAACAGATGCCTCCTATTCTCACTATCTCAGTTTCCCTTACCAACTAATTCCACAGAGCTTAGGAATAAGAGAACAAATGAGTTTTCAGAGAAATACTAGAAAATATGAGATCTGTAATAAAAAGAAGAAGATTTGCCTTGGGAATGAAAAAGCAATGGGTGAGAAACATGATGAGAACTCAGAGTTGAGGGCCATGGAGACCCACCAAGGAAAGAGTTTCAAGGAAGATAGGTGGTTAAGAGTGTTCAAGGTTACAAAGCCCTGAGTGATAAAGATTGGGAAGTTTTACCCACATCTCTGACCTTCAGAGGTGCCATTTGAGTAGAAGCTAGGGGAGATGGCCATCAAAGAAGTTTGAGAGGACACAGGGGTGAGAAACTGGTGGGCGCAGTGTGGATAACTGGTGAAAAGGAGTAGAGATGAGGTGGGGAGATACAACCGGATCAAGTGCATGTCTGAGGGTACAGTGGAGAGAGAAACAATCTGGACTACAGGAGGATCTCAGAGGGTCCAGGCCAAAAGGATGGCATCTGAGGCTGGCTCTGTTGAGGAGAATGTCCACTTCATTTTCTGAAAGTGGAGGGGACATGACAAATCAGAGACAGTGAAGTAGAGGAGATGACCAGAGGTCGCTCAATGGGTCTCAGTCTTCTCAGGAAAAGCAAAGGCAGAGCAGGCCATCTGCCAAGTTGAGATGGGAGGTGTGGAGCTCCTGAAGAAATGGAAGCATTTGCAAGCACCTTGGATGGAACACAATGGAACGTGCAAGGCAGAAGTAGTGGCAGATGATGAGAATTAGATGGAGAATCAAAGTGAGCTGGGTAGGAGGATAATACATTCAAAACCCTGAAAACTCAGCAGGGGAAACTGTTCCCGAGCTCTCACTCTCTTCTCATGCTGGCCGAAACTGAGGCCACAGACCAATCAGGCTTCCTAATATCCAATAAGATCAGTAGTGCGTAGGCTGTTCCACAGAGCTCAAGTCCTAGACTCCAGACTTAATGAGTCACCTGCTTGATATTTTCTACTTCAGGCCTTTGGCTTTCTGGGGCCTCAGTCCACTCAGCTGCAAAATTGACTTACGGGATCGTGTCAATTGCCAGATGCTGTGGAGCAGAGCAGCGGGTCCAGCTTCTGCAGGTAAACGAACTGCCTGAAAGGAAATGAGCAGTGATTTCCCAGGGAGTCCCTTCTGCAGTGTCGTTATCATGTCAGCTTCTGACAGCACAGCGGTTTCAGTGGAAGATTCTGGAGCATCCCATCATTAAAATGATGTCAATGCATGCTACATTTCACATCTCATGCGCATGAAAACCCCACAGCGGGAAAACTCAATCACTCAAACACTACCAAGATGCCTGGACCCTTATATGCATTTGGGCTGTAGTATCCCCCCATGATCCCACAGGCATTTTGGATGCAGAAGTGTCTTTGGCTTCAGCTTCAGACTCCCATGTTCGTGTTTCTGTGATACTGTGCCGCCTTTCATTCCCTCTTCATTCTTCTCCAGGCAACAGGCCTGGAGAAGGTGGTGCCTCTGAGCATGGTATATTCTATTTAAAAATCTTCCCTATGAAGCCAAGACACTCTGGCAAAAAAAAAAGGACCTAAATGAAAGATCTCTGTGAGTGAGATACCAGTGGAAAGAACAGGTCTTCAAAGAAGGAGGTACCTTTCTCTGAAGGGAGGAGAGAACTTCCACTTTGACTATGACCTTGTCTAAATAAGATAAGAGTCGGAGAACTCAAAAGGCTTCCATAGCCTTGGAAACTCATGACTGGAGCATAGGGAGATTACTGATGCCATAAACAGGAGTGTCAATTTGTAAAGTCAACAACAGGAGTCACTGTGCACTTACTCCTCATGTAGGATCTCTGTCCTTAATGTGCTGTACATTGTGATTTAATGCTATAACGAGTACTCAAACAGTATTTTTCACTTTGTGTTTCTATGTGGGTGCAAACTGTTGAAATCTTTACTTAATGTATACTAGACTGATCTTCTGATATAAAGAAAATTGAAAATGAATCTTGATAAGAATGGAAGGGGAGAGAGAGCGGGAAAGGGGAGGGTTGCGGGTGGGAGGGAAGTCATGGGCGGGGGGGGGAAGCCAATGTAATCCATAAGCTGTACTTTGGAAATCTATATTCATTAAATAAAAGTTAAAAAAAATCTTCCCTATGGCCTCTGCTATAAGCTTGGCACACATGACCTCATATTGTCCTCATGAGCAGCCCATGAGGTAGGTGCTTTATATATATATATATATATATATATATATATATATATATATATATATAGTAAATGGGAGAACAGAAGCTCGAGGAGATTGGGTGACAAAACATGGCCACACATCAGTGAAGAACTTGAACTTGAACTGATATCTGTGCAACTGCAAAGTGCCTGCTCTTAACCATGATACCCTTAAAATTCCCACATCATGGTGGATGAATTGGAACCAACCATACGGGGCTAGAACCTACTTGCTGTCAGGTGTAGGTAAGCTCAAGCCCACCTGTACGTTAGCCAGCTTCACAGTCTCACCCAGATGATGACCAAAGGAAGGTCCCCTCAAACTTCTAGCCCAGTTACAGGAAGGCCATCTAGTAGCAGTGGGCTTGGACACTACGGGCTACACATCCACACCTGCCCACCTCTCATAGGGGTACCAGGGCAGTCAAAATCATGTGACTCCGAAAGCCATCAGCATCTATTTGTTCAATGAACTAAACAGGGTAGAACCGACTAAGCAAGCATAGGCTGTTCATCTGTCCTCTGTGTGTCAACATATTCTCAGCATCCTAAGGCTACAATGAGCAGCCCCAGCTGGCTGGGTCCTACCTGGGCTCTGCACTCCCATGTCACTGGCTCACACGTGCCTTCTCAGAGGCTGCCCAGGGTTGGGCACCTGTGCCTTCTGTCTTCAACTGGAAGAAAGAGAAGAAAGCAGCATACAGTGACACCTTAAGACACCATCACAGCAATGAAAGAGCCTATTATCATCCTCACTGAGGTGATGAGGAAACTGGGTCATAGTCGGGGGATCACTTACCCAAGTTCTCCCACTGGGCTGCGATGGAGCCAGAATCTGATCCTGGAGTCTATGCTCCAAAGTCTGAGCTCCCAGGCCCACACCCCCTTCTTCCCCATAGGCTTGCCAGAGAATACCACTCAGCTCAGAGGAATCTGCTTACCCTGGCCTAGACCTTAGTCCTCCAGGAAGCTTAGTTAGCCTGATTGGCTAATTTAGTGTCTGCACTAGTCAACAAGTATTTTTTTAAGCACCTTCAAGGCACTGAGGGGAACCAAAAGGAAATAAGGGTTTATTACTCCCCTGTATGACAATGTGGGAGAAAGAGAGGTCCAAGGGAGACAAACTGGCACAAAACACAAAAGCACAGGCTGGCTCTGGCCCTGGGCAATGAAGCACAGGGCAGGCAACTGAGCCAGGCACTGGGGATGTGGGAAGGCTGGCAGGGAGTGGGTGTGCACAGCCAGCAGCACTCAGATATACCAACAAGGCTAGGCAGGGCCACTGCTGCTCTCAGGACTCAGTGAAGGTGGTGCCCCTCCTTCTGGGAGAAGAGATCAGAGAGGAAGCTGAGGGGGCAGAAAGACAGAGAGACAAAAGGCAAAGAGTGTAAAAACATAAGAGAAAGGTTAAGGTGGAAGCAAAGAACAGCAAGGAAGGAAAGAGAAGGAAATAGAAAGTGAGGGACACAGTGGAGGAAGAAAAAGCTGTCTCAAAAAAGGCACAGGGGACCCGACGGGAACTCTCGTCAGAAGACTGTGGGCTGGGCCCATGGCAGGAATAAAAGAGAATCTCCCTGGGAGCCTCTCTCCTAGTCTGCCCTTTCTGACTCTGCACTTGAAGCCAGAGGGCAGTCACAGATGAGAATGTCTTGGGCAAGAGGTGGCGAGTATGATCACTGCAGTGCCCAGCTGATGGCCTTCTTTGCAACCAGCTTCTAGAAGGTGGAGGCTGCCCGCTCATCAGTACCTTCCAGGCTAGGGTAGGGGCGGTGGGTAGAGCGCTGTGTACTGGGGCCTCCTGGGTGAGGCCCATGCAACAAGGCCAAGAGCACTCTGGTCACTCAGGAGATCTAGTGGGACTCCCAGAGAAAGAGAGCTCAGTTGTAGGATGCTCCTAGGCCAGTGTGGACAGAAGAGGAGCATGAGTCTGGGCTGACCCCACAGCTCCTTCCTCTCCAGGCTGTAGCTCCAAGGAGGGAATCCTGAAAACCTCCAACTCCACTCTCTTGAAGCCCCTGGAAAAACGCTGGCACAGAAGGGGAGCTCTAGATCCTGGTATGTGGAGGGCCAGCCTCTGCTGAAATAAGGGAAATCAAGACCTGAGACATGAATGGGAGGGATGAGGGATGGACAGCTTCATGGCAGACAGGATTCCAAAGTCCGTGGGCATGACTCCTAAGTTGGATTTAGGCTAGGCCTCCAGATAAGTCTGACATGGAAGATATAAAAATGCAAATACATTTGTTTAAAACTTCCTTAAGCAAGTGGCCAAAATAAAGAGGGGGTACGGTAGAGCTATTTTCTTCAGTTGGGTGGCATTTGTAGTTCTCCCCTTATCTCCATCTGAAGCAAATGCATATGTCTAGGCCTCACTGCTTTGGAGATCATGAGATTTAGTGATGAACACAGCCTGGGTACTGATCATTCAGAATAGAATATGGGCCGGCGCCGCAGCTCACTAGGCTAATCCTCTGCCTTGCGGCGCCGGTACACTGGGTTCTAATCCCGGTTGGGGCGCCGAATTCTGTCCCAGTTGCCCCTCTTCCAGGCCAGCTCTCTGCTATGGCCAGGGAGTGCAGTGGAGGATGGCCCAGGTGCTTGGGGCCTGCACCCCATGGGAGACCAGGAGAAGTACCTGGCTCCTGCCATCGGATCAGCGCTGTGTGCCAGCCGCAGCGTGCTGGCCGCGGCAGCCATTGGAGGGTGAACCAACGGCAAAGGAAGATCTTTCTCTCTGTCTCTTTCTCTCACTGTCCACTCTTCCTGTCAAAAAAAAAAAAAATTAATTAATTTAAAAAAATAGAATATGGATCTAACAACCCTGTGCCCTTACTAGGGTGTGGCAGCTGAACCTCAGCCTGTTGGAATCTTGCTTTTACGCATGCATGTCTACACACAAACATACACATACACACACATGTCACTTAAGCAAAAAAAAATTTCCACAATGTGCTCCTTGCACAAATGTAGTTCCAGTCTAATTTAATGGGCCTTAGTGATTGTCTAAAATTAATGCTCCAAGCCAAAGTTCTTTAATCCTCTAGCTGCAGTTTCTAGACACAGCTCCCCTGACCTTTTCAGATTCTTGCTATACAATTTTCCTCTTGTTCAAATAATTTGCAATTACCAGACACAACTCATTGCTGATAAAGGCTAAATTTAAAATACCAACTGTATCCAACTTCAAAGCGGGGCTTAAGATCAGCATGGTTACTAACAATAAGGGATCCAGAGGATGGGAGGAAAAAAACCTGTGGGTTTAATGATATATTAGATTGTACCATCAAAGCTATAAAACAAATGCTGCAGTTCTCTGTGAGACAATCCATTACCTATCTGCTTCTAGGGTGGAAATTCAAATCCAGAGGACTGTACACAATACTAGTTTACTTTTAGAACCAGCTTGGCAGGCTGGTGTTGTGGCATAGTAGGCTAAGCATCTGCCTGTGGTGCCAGCATCCCATACAGGTGCCGGTTCATTTCCTGTCCCTGATGCTCCTTTTCCATCCAGCTCTTTGCTCATAGCCTGGGAAAGCACTAGAAGATGGGATAAGTCCTTGGGCCCCAGAAACAGCGTGGGAGACCCGGAAGAAGCTTCTGGCTCCTGGCTTCAGATCAGCCCAACTCCGGCTGTTGCAGCCATTTGGGGAGTGAACCAGCAGATGGAAGAACTTTCTGTCTGTCTCTCCCTCTCTGAGTCTGTAACTCTGCCTCTCAAATAAATAAGTAAAAATCTTTAATAATTAAAAAATAAAGAACCAGCTTGGCAATTAGGTAACAGGCTAGTTGCAGAGAGCAGAAACCAGACCCCCAACCTGTCATTTCTTCTTCCCTCTCATGTCTTCCTCTCTCTTCACCTTCCTTCCCTCCTGCCTCCTTCTCTCTCAACACTTTCCACCCATCTATGAGACATGCTTGACACTGTGGTAGAAATGTAAAATAAGACAGATTACCGCCATCCTCAGGAACTCACAACCCACTACAATGAGACACTCAGCATATTCAACCTCGGCGGAGGGCAGGGCCAGGCACTCCCGGAGCAACTGCTAGAGGGAACCCATCCCACAAGAGTTAAGATTCAGGGGCCATTGCCGTGGTGCAGCGGGTTAAAGCCCTGGCCTGAAGCTCCAGCATCCCATGTGGCCACTGGTTCGAGACCCGGCTGCTCCTCTTCCAATCCAGCTCTCTGCTATGGCCTGGGAAAGTAGTAGAAGATGGCCCAAGTCCTTGGGCCCCTGTGCCCATGTGGGAGACCCAGAAGCAGCTCCTGGTTTCAGATCAGCACAGCTCTGGACGTTATGGCCATCTGGGGAGTGAACTAGAGGATGGAAGACCTCTCTCTCTCTGTCTCTACCTCTCTCTGTGACTCTGTCTTTCAAATAAATAAAATAAATCTTTATAAAAATAAAAGAGTTAAGATCCAGCTCCAGCACACAGAAGAGCCTTAAGAAAGCGCCAGCTTGGGAGGACTCTGGAAGGGAAGGCCTGCTCTGAGTGCTCTGAGCAGGGGGACCCTGGGGCTAGGGAAGAACTGGGGAGCGGTGAGCAGGAGGCAGGGTTGCAACCTGGAGATGCCCAGGGCCCTCAGCCAACATTGGAGGCAAGACAGAAGGTGCGCCCAGACTAAGGCCATGGCCGACTTCCTGGCTGTCCCTGCCCGAGCAGCCTCTCAGATAGTCCTATGTCCCAGGAAGCAACAGCCCTGTACAGCAGGCGTGAGCAGGCTGCAGAAACTCTCCCAACAACTCCGCTTTCACCTGAAGGGAGAGAGCATCTGGAATTCACCACTGGCATTCCAATCTTTACAGCCTAGCAGTCCGGCATCCTTATTACCGCACAGCGTTTCCTGGGAAGCCCTGCCCTCAAGTTGAGAGGGTCCCAGTTGAAAAGCAGCTGAGAGCAGCTTCCTGTGAGGTGCCAGGGAGGGCAAAGACTCCTGGGAAAGGCTGCTGGAGGACAGCAGGGAAGGGGCAGAAAGAGGAGAGCAGGAGGGGAGCAAGAAATGTACGCTTTGAAGCCCAAATGAAAGAGACATTTTTCCCCCTTCTATAATTTCAAGAGGAGTGGGTGGCACTGTAGGCTGCCCCTTACCTCCACCTGAAGCAAGCGTGGATGCTTAAGCTCACAGCTGGCGAGCGGCTCATTCTTTCATCCTGCAGACCGTCTGTAGGGAGCACCCACTGTGTGCCAGGCTCTAGGCCAGGCTGGTGCTGGGGCATCTGGAGGGCTCCCCTCCAATCTCCTGTCACTTTGTGCACTTGGAGCCTCTGGAGCTGGGGCCAGGGATCAAAGGTGCCACGGCAGTGGGCAGTGGTGCCCTGCAGAGAGGCTCCCTGAAGCTGGTCTTACCCAATGGTCTTACCCACAGCCAGAATACAGCAGAGGGGCATGGACCACCATGGGATGCATCAGCACACAGCACCTCTCCAAGGCTTTCCTAAAACCCGGCGCCTGCAGGTTAAAAAATAAATAAATAAACCAACAGGTGAAGTGAACATTAGAGTAGCAACCTGCGGAGCCTCTTAATCTGTCACTTAAATCTAGGGCTTTTAGCTATAATTGAATGTCCTACTGTGACTATTATGAAGAGGGGGAGGAGGAGGTGTCAAAGTTGTGGTTTGGAGGGCGGGGGAAAATAAATTTTCCTTCAAAACTAGTCAACAACAATGCCTTTGTGTTAAAGGGACAGAGCGGAGGCCTTGTCGCTGCGCAGGAAAACAATGCATCCAGGGCACTTACGGAGGCCGCTGAGTCACTGCCGAGGTGGTCATTATCCTGCGTGAGGCCAGAGGAACTGCTGTGCAGCCCGAAGACTGGAAAAGTACCACTGACTTTTTATAAATTGAAAGGCAGCTGCCTGGCAGACGACTATAAGCATATCATCCAAACTGCTCAATCTTACTAAGAGAATGAAGGAAAAGGCGGCATGGAGGGAGGGAGGGAGGGAGGAAGCAAGCAAAATTCTACATTAGAAGGTAGCATGAAATATTGCATTTACAAGTGCTGAGAAGATCACAAGGTATGGTGATGATTTTGTGAGGAACAAATCCTTTCAGGTTAGTCATCAGGGGGCCTCTTGGGAGCTCAAGAGGGAACAGTGGCTCCTTGCCTTCTGGAATGAGAAAGGAACTTTAACGTGTTTTGTCCCTCTGGAAAGGCAAAGTGATATAAATGCAGGAAGTGGTTATGGTCCCTGAATTACTATTATTACTGGACTGAATTGTCTTTGAGAGATTGTTCTCCTGACTAAGAGGGGGAAGCAGTCTGAGGGACTGAATTGCTTCTCCAAATGTCTTCTTTTAAAAAATTGGGTTCCTGGGGTGTGAAGAGCCATACTGAGGGGTCCAAAGTTGACTCTCAGCAGGCAGACTCATTGCCTCCTAATCTTCACCAAGAACCAACTTGAGCGCTGGATGTGTGACCTTGCGGTTGCTCTCTTCACAAAGGATCAAACTGAATATTGTACTCTTCCCATCAAAGCTTTCCCTAACAGCAACTGCATTTCTGTCCACCCAGGGTCGCTGCTTGTCCAGCAGTCAGAACAGATCTTGAAACCCTCTTTAAAGACTCATGATCACAACCAAGGCAAGAGGAGCACTAATTTCCTTCAGCCATCCTTTGAATGCATGTGGGTTGCTCAGAACACTCCCTTGAATTCATCATGCCAGAAACACAAGGGTCAGTGCCTTGTACGCAATTTGCATCTTAATTCTTACCTACTATAAGACCTCCTTGATCCCTTCATTGTCAAGGGATGAGGCATGCTGGAGGAGTGAATGTGCCATGTAATATGGGCTAACCCCTTAAAGCACTGAATCATAAAAAATAAATAAGCAGACTGGTTGTATCGCACAGTTGCCTTCTGAAATAAACAGAGGACATTTCATACTTGAGATTTTATGATCCAGGCCATCATCTTGAATGAGAATTATATTGTGTGATTGTAACTCACAGGTAGTAGGTAATAAAAGGTTAAAAGTAGTGGTGATTTCTGCCTCTCTGGCTGATGTCTTTAATGTAACCTGATTTCTGAAGCATTACATATTATTAAATACTTTTCTGTATGTCTGCTCCAGGTTTATCAGGGTTAATGAAGGAAGTGTTAAAAAGACACGGCTCAAGGTAAGAAGCTCCATTACAAAGATTAGAAACGGTGTCAGTAATTAATTCCCAGCATAGTTGCAATGAAAGACCTGAATAAATGTTCTTCTGTGTAATCACGGTGGCATCCAGGGTATGCAGAGGAAGCTTATCAGTCAGGATTCTTTGGTGTCAGCAATAGAAACCAACTATGAGTAACTTAAGCCAGAAAAGATGTATTGGAAGCATTCTAAGTAGGTCCCAGCACCAAAGGAAGAGTTGAACAATCAGGCCCCAGGAAAGACTAAATGAGGGCTGCACCAATGAGCTCAACGACAAAACTCATGACCCCCTCCCTAGAACACGGACATACCATAACTCTGCTTCCAATGCCAGTCACTCTCAATGCCTGTGTGCCTCTGCTTGAGTCAGTTCCTGCGACAGAGATCATCTAATTGGCCCATTTGGGGTCAGGGATCTTATCCTTGTGGCCAAATGGATGAACTCCTGTAACAGAATCCACAAAACCCACAGAGAATGAAGAGGGGCATTTCTCCCAAATAAAGTCATTATTTGAAGAAAAAACAGCACAGGTCCTCAAGACTGCCATACTAACCCAAGCCCACACTTTATATTCCCTAAAGTTGCTTCTAGTTCCACTTGAATGTTGCTTCTTATCTCAAGTTTGCCTCTGTCTGTTCTTCCTTGAAAGACTATGGTAGGCAGAACATACCCCTGAAATGTCCATGCCCTAATCCCTACAACCTGTGCCTGAAGGGCTTTGCAAGATGTGATTAAGGTTATGGATTATAAGACACAGAGATTGGCCTGTATTATACAGTGGGCCCAATGCAATCGTATGAATCAGAGAAATTCGGCAGAAAAAAAAGTTGAAGAAATTCTAATCAAGAAAGGATCTGGGGCGCCGGATTCTGTCCCGGTTGCTCCTCTTCCAGTCCAGCTCTCTGCTGTGGCCCAAGAAGGCAGTGGGCAGTGGAGGATGGCCCAGGTCCTTGGGCCCTGCACCTGCAAGGGAGACCAGGAAGAAGCATCTGGCTCCTGGCTTCGGGTTGGCGAAGCGCGCCAGCCACAGTGGCCACTTGGGGGGCAGGGGGGTGAACCAACGGAAAAGGAAGACCTTTCTCTCTGTCTCTCCCTCTCTCACTAACTGTCAAAAAAAAAGAAAAAGCAAAAAAGAAAGGAACTAGATCCCCTTTTGCTGGAAGGTAGGGGAGCACATGGAAAATATAAGAAGGAATTCAAACAGCCTCTAGGGGCAAGGGTCGACCTCTGACTGACAGCCAGGAAGGAGACAGGGACCTCAGCCCTATATGCAACTTAATTTAGCCAACAGCCTGAATGAGCCTAGAAGTAGGTTCATGCTCAGAGCTTCCAGAAAAAAAACAGGCCTTGTCCACATCCTACAGCATTATGAGACTTAAAGTGGAGGACCCAGTCATGCCACACTGTATCTGGACTTCTGACCTATGGAGCTAAGTTTAAGTCACTAAGTTTATAACTTCTTCCAGCAGCCACAGAAAACCAGCACAGGGGCCATGCAGATGTCTCACCTGTTCTAGCATCTTTACTAGCATCGTATGATGTTCTTGGTGATCATGTGGGGAGAGAGGCTCTCTGGCTCTATCGGCCTGGCCATAATTCCTTTACTGCATCATCAGCAAAAACAACAAAATATTAGACACCTATCATATGATAGTAGGTACTCAATTTACAGCCATTATAATTTTAGTGCTCACCCCAACCCCTCAAAAAAGTCCTCACTTCACTGCATGCTAGAACATGGAGATAATAATGCCTACTTCACTGGGCTTTTATGAGTATTAAATAAGATACAGAGTAGTTACATAGCTCACCCAGATTCACTCAAATAGTAAGAGAAAGAACTCGGATTAAAACTTCATTCTGATAGACCCAAACCCATGCCCTTTCTACTAAGCAACACTGCCTCAACATCACCACTACAGAAGTACCCAAAATAGTATGTAGCTAAACTGACATCCAGCACCACCATGGCCTCGGGATTTTCCTGTCAGACATACAAGGCAGTAGGAAGAGCACTGGACCAGGAATCTCCTGACTGGGCCTGCGTTGTAGCATAGCAGTAAAGCCACCTCCTGTGACACCAGCACTCCAAATGGGTATCAGTTCTTGCCCCAGCTGCTTGACTTCCCATTCAGCTCCCTGCTATGGTCTGGGAAAAAGCAGTGGAAGATGACCCAAGTGTCTGGGCTCCTGCCACCCATGTGAGAGACCGGATGAAGCTCTTGGCTCCTGGCTTCCACCTGGCCCAGTCCTGGCTGTTTCAGCCATCTAAGGAGTGAACTAGCAGGTGGAAGATCTCCCTTTCTAACTCCCCCTCTCTCTCTGCAACTCTTTCAAATAAATAAAGAAATCTGCTTTAAAAAGATTATTATAAAGATTAAATAAGACAATTCTTTAAAAATATGGAGGAAAGAAAAGGAAAAAAAGTTGCAGCCAGTTCTCAATCGGCCTTGTTTTCTGTCTCAGCTAGGCTCTCTTGGGTCTGCCTCATGCATGCATAATTTGCTAGTCAGCCAGGAATAGGTAGGGAATTTATCTCAGCCCTTTTGTAGCACCATCTCCTTCCTTGTTGGTTGTTTGTTTGTTTTGTCTTGTTTTTTAAGATTTCTCTATTTATTTGAAAGGCAGAGCTAGAGAGTGGGGGTGGGGGGTGTTCCTCCATCGGCTGGTTCACTCCCAAGATGGCCAAAACGGCCGGAGCGGCGCCAATCTGAAGCCAGGAGCCAGGAGCCAGGAGCTTCCTCCGGGCCTCCCGTGTGAGTGCAGGGACCCAAGGTCTTGGGCCATCCTCCGCTGCCTTCCCAGGCCATAGCAGAGAGCTCAAGTGGAAGAGGAGCAGCCAGGACCCGAACCGGTGCCCATATGGGAAGCCTGCACTGCAGGCGACAGCCTTACCTGCTACACCACAAGAGCAGCCCCAACATCTCATTTCTGAGCTCTCAGACGTCCCTCCTCTCCATTAAATTTCTGGCTAGTCCATGGCTCCCCCCAACCGAGAACACACGGTCGAGCAAAGTGACAGGCTTTCCTCATTCTTTCCCAACTGAGTGTTCCGTTTTTAGCCTGTAAAGCCGCCCCGGTACGCACATGCGCGCGTGCGCACACACACACACACACACACACACACACCCCGAATTGAGTCGGTCCCTTCTGGCAGCAGAGTTGCCCATCTTCGGGGCCAGCGCCCCGCTTCTCAATCCACCTTCTCAATCCACCGCTCCGGCCTATGGGACAGGCAGGAGGGGACGGAAGCAGCTTCAGGCAAGAAGGCCGCAGACTCCTGTTGCTCTTACCCGAAGCTCCAGTTCTTCAAGAATGGAACTTTGTTGTCTGCCTTTGGTCAATTTACAACTCCTGGAAATGATTTGCTGGACTTCCTGCTTCCAGTTTTCTACTTGTCCTGTGAGGATGAACCACTAACCCCTCAGGCAGCCCTCGCCGGAAGTCCCGCCCTCCGTCCTTCCAGGAGACGGAAAGCCTCCTTGACTTGGGAACAGCCCCAGACAGGGGAACTCTTACCCTACTCACTCTATTAGGTTGTCCTGTTCACTGGCCCAGACAGCTCTGAAACCATTTTTGTTTTAAGATTTATTTTATTTATTTAAAATGTGGAGTTACAGAGAGAGAGATTTTTCTATGCTGGTTCACTCCCCAAGTGGCCGCAACGGCCTGGCTGGGCCCGTTAAAGCCAGGAGCTTCTTCCAGGTCTCGCATATGAGTGCAAGGGCCCAAGCTCCTAGGTAAAGGGGCCCAGGGACTTGGGCCATCTTCTGCTTCTTTCCCAGGTGCATTAGCAGGGAGCTGGATCGGAAGTGGAGCAGCCAGGATTTGAACCATGGTCAATAAAGTATGCTGACGCTGCAGGTGGTGGCTTTACCCAGACACCACGATGCAGGTCCCTCCAAAACTGTTCTAAAGAGCCGGAGGTCTGGGGCTAGCGCTGTGCCATAGCAGGTAAGGCCTGGGAAAGCAGTGGAAGATGGCCCAAGTTCTTGTGCCCCTGCACCCATGTGGGAGACCGGAAGAAGCTCCTGGCTTTGGATTGGCCCTGCTCTGCCCGTTGTAGCCCTTTGGGGAGTGAACCAGGTTATGGAAAACCTTTCTCTCTCTCTCTGCCTCTCTATAACTCTGCCTTTCAAAATAAATGAATTAATTAAAGAGAGAGAGAGAGGCAGAGGTCTTTGGCCTTCAGAACAATCTCCCAGAAACTTGGCTTTGCTTGTTTCCTAGCCCTTCCCCAGAATACACAAAATGGATTTTGCAATTTAAATCTGTTTCTATGATATGCATATTATCTAATATTAGAAAACATACAAGTCTGGCTGCAGGAGCTTCAGCACTATCACTCTTTTTCACTGCAGTTAATGAACCATAACTGCCCTTGAATACTTTGGCTTTCAGACTGTTGGGGCCAACATTCCAAAGTGGGTATCAATTTATGGTTGCATTATGTGAAAGAACAAGAAAGAGCTTTGTTTGCTTTTTTGTTGTTGTTCAAGTCTCATTCTTTGAAGCTGACAGGCTAGCGTTGGACTGTTTTTGAGAGAGGGCCAAAATGATTTAACCTGCTGCATCTTTTTATTTTTGCTACATTTCCATCTTCTTTTTGGGGAACTCTCAGAAAGTCAAGAAAACCAACAGCCCCTCATGTCAATGTACATGAAAGTTACTCAGTGAGGTGGTGAAGTTATTGCTAGCTATTTATGAGTCTAAATTCCATCTGATCCTTGTCTGTAGTGTGAATGAATAATATAAGTACAATCTGTTTTCAAATGCATGTATGTCTTCATTGTAAAGCACTGGCAAGTTTACGGTAACTGGCATTATCATACTTTGATGTTGGATATCAAGTCTGCAGCTATTATAACATTCTGAAGGGGGGGGTAATGAGATCTGTTAATATTAGAAACTAATCCTCATTCTCAGAAAGACTGGGTATTGCTGCTCCAGAGAAAGTGGACCTCTATCAAATAGCACCCCTTCCCTTTTTGGCCCAAGGAAAAGGAATTCTTACAGACAGTGTGCATCCCACCTGCCACCCACTCACCACCTCTGGCATATGCAGAGCACATTGGCCAGCTGTCAGGTGTGGTACGATTGTAGAATAAGGTAGACACTAGTCTGGGAATGCAAAGAGCCAACTTCTACTCTAAGGCCAGGCATTAACTTGCTTGAAAAGTTTAGGTCTTTCACTTAGTTTTCTGGGTCTCCATTTCTAAAACAAAATTACTTACTGATGTCAAAGACCCTTGCCCGCTCAGCCATTCTGTGACTCAATAAATAGGCACTCTAGGCTCCTTGCACATACACCTCAGAAAGGCCACATGTCTTCTGCAGTATTTCCCAGCTAAGTGTTAATAGTCTCTTCACTCGGGCTGGCACCATGGCTCACTTGGTTAATCCTCCTACTGCAGCATGGGCATCCCATATGGGTGCCGGGTTCTAGTCCCGGCTGTTCCTCTTCCAGTCCAGCTCTCTGCTGTGGCCCAGGAGGAAAGTGGAGAATGGCCCAACTGCTTGGGTGCCTGCACCCGCATGGGAGACCAGGAAGAAGTACCTGGCTCCTGGTTTTGGATCGGCGCAGCACCAGCCGTAGCGGCCATTTAGGGAGTGAACCAACGGAAGGAAGACCTTTCTCTCTGTCTCTCTCTCCCTCACTATAACTCTGTTAAATAATAATAATAATAATAATAATAATAATAAAGTAGTCTCTTCACTTGGCTACTGCTGATACAAATGAAGTGAGGTTCAGGGTACAAGTGACCGACAGCATCAGGGCTAAGGTGGGGGAACACACAGATCCTCACACCTGTCCTAGTGGCCACCATTTACTGAGCCCTTCCACACGCCGGGAAGAGATAAACACTTTTTTGTGTAGGAAATCATTTGATCTCCTCAGCAGGCTATGAGGTATCATATTATTTACCCCCTTTATGGGAAGGAGCCCCAAATCCTTCTGCGGCTGGCAACTGAACTGTCTTCACAGCTTCTAGTTCAGCTTCCTCTTACAGAGAAATGAAGTATTTATTTGTTCTTGGAATATAATTCATAAACATATAAGCCATCACCATGTGAGGCCCTGTCAGGAAACACAGCAAGATTCAGGGAAGAAAATAAAAGGTTCATTTAGCTATTACCATTTAATATTTCCTTCTCTGAAGCAAATGTCAAATGTCTGTGTAATTATTCTTAACTCTCACTAGCAGCAGGAGAGAATTCAGTAATTCAAAGTTTCCCATTCCTTTTAGTTAATCTCAAGAGGAGAACACATAAAACAGCAGGGAAGGCTTAAACTGGACAAAGTTCTTGGCAGCTGAAAGCCTTCCATGATGAAAGAAATCATGACTTCTGCCACTGACTCAGTCAGCCCCATCTCTAATCCCTTTGATAACTTTCTCAACCAGAACCCAATCCAAAGAAAACTGTGCTCACCCTACATGCACTAAATTGGAACAAAAATAAGCAAATGATTATGCACAGGATTGGTAATGTTGTGAAGTCATCCTCTCTATATAATTCTTGAATACATAATACGTGTGTGGTTATAGACTTGGAAAGCAGTATGGCCAAACTAAGCAACCATAATTCTCAGCAATCCCACTCCTGAATGTCTATGCCTAGAAAATATATCAAAAAAAAAAAAAGAGGCCTATTTGAAAATGTCAATTTCAGCATTATCTACAATAGCAAAACACAAGAAACAACATAAACAAAAACACACACAGTTTTTGCAATATTCACTGATTGAATGCCTATTAGATGCCAGGCAATGTTCACGGCCCCAAGATGAATATAATTCTCCTTGAGGAGTATGCTGAATATTGAGGCCTTTTTTGTTTTGTTTTGTTTTGGAATTTTTGTCTTTATTTTCAACACTCAGCATACACTCCTTTCTCCTGCATATCATAGGGACTGCAAGACTGGGTCCCATACAGCATCAAGGATCTTGGATATGACTTTCACTCTGCGCAGGGGATGTGTTTGCAAGAGATTTGGAAGGCAGAAGGAAAGCAGAACCTTTTAACTCTTCCTCCAGCAGCCATAGTAGGCACACGGGCACATCAGATCCAAATGTTTGCAGAGACCAGCTAAACCCTTGTGCCAGCCATCCACTTGGGTGTTGTGGGGAGCTGGGATATCAGCAACATTTTCTTGGAATTTTCTGACCCCTGCACTGAGCAGTAACTTCCTAACACTCTTTAAGCTAGTTGTCACCCTGAAAGCCAAAGAGATCTCTTCCACCTACTGATTTTTCTCCCACCTTCAGCCTTTTCAGTAGTTTCACAAACACCAAAATCCTTGTATAAAATTCCTTTCTGATTAAAACCATATCTATTTTCCTTGATCCTTTTTGCTGACAGATAACAGTAGAAATATGATATAAGCCACACGTGTGAGTCAGCGGCATCATTGAAATTTTTATAGTAGCCATATTAAAAAAGTAAAAAGAAACAGATGAAATTTGTGTCAACAGTAGATTTATTTAACCTGATATATCCAGAATATTGCTATTTCAACAGGTAGTCAATATGAGAATATTAATTAGGTAATTTACTTTTTGTAACAGGTTTTCAAGATGAAGTATATAGTTTATACATATAGCATGTCTCAATTCAGACAAGAACTTAATATCTGCAAGTGATTGGTGGCTCTTGTATTTCATAACATAAATCTATGCAGTAATACAATGGCAGATGACTGTGCTGCCATTTAAATGAACTTTTGGCCTTGTTTCTGCTACTGTGGTTGGTTCATCTCTTCACTTGGTCCATGGGTATCTGTGAAATGAGATCTGGCTCTCACCGCAGTTGGATCAAAGACATCAACCTATAAGCAGCCTTTCGATTAGAAGACTGGAATTTCTATAAGCATTCCCAGAACTACATGGAAATTCCATCAGGCAAGAGGGGCAGGTTCAGTGTGGCTGGAAGAGATCTGCTTTGTGCCTGGGTGACCTTAACTGTAGGACAGGAAGAAGGCAGCTCCCAAGGGTTGTAGCCTTATGCTGAGACATGGTCCTGAGCTCTTCCATCATGCCCACTGGGGAATGAATGGTCTGAAAGAAGAGAATCAGCAAGACTTGTTTGGAGAGTTGCTAAGATAGACACGTGGATCTAGAACAAGAGCTTCATTCCTAGGCATGTCAAACCACAGGAACAGAAGAAACCCTTCTCTGGTGATTATATCTTGCCAACAGTGGATCTGAATCAGAAAAAAAAAAATTAGACAAAGAGTAGCAGCTGCTAAAATCAGGTCAAGCCAAGATGGATGCAGAATGCAGGTAGACTGTGGGCTACAAAAGCAGGCATGAGAGCAACTGATACCCAGTAACCAGAATTAGGTAAGACCAGGGTAAGTGCAGAAGAAGCTGAGTATGCCAGCGCTATGGCTAGGATGCACTAACGTACATGGCTGCCCATCTTTGTGTCTACTGGCTGTTTTTTT